AGAGACGCCGCATCTCTAAAGCCTTACCTGTCCGACAGAAACGCCACATTTCCAAAGTCTTACCTGTCCAACAGAGACACGACATCTTTGAAGCCTTACCTGTCCAACAGAGACGTCGCATCTCTAAAGCCTTAGCTGTCCAACAGAGATGTCGCATCTCTAAAGCCTTACCTGTCCGACAGAGACACGACATCTCTAAAGTCTTACCTGACCAGCAGAGACACGTCAGAGTGGTTCTGACCAACGGCGTCGCTGGCGTTGGAAAAACCTTCTCAGTGCAGAAGTTCTCTCTGGACTGGGCAGAGGGCTTGGAGAACCAAGATGTCAGTCTGCTGGTTCTGCTTTCGTTCAGGGAGCTGAACCTGATCAGAGATCAGCAGTACAGTCTTCTCAGGCTGCTCCATGTTTTCCATCCAACATTACAGAAGGTCACAGCAGAGCAGCTCGCTGTCTGTAAAGTTCTGTTCATCTTTGACGGCCTGGATGAAAGCAGACTGTCACTGGATTTCAACAACAGGAAGTCTGTGTCTGATGTCACACAGGAGTCATCAGTCAACGAGCTGCTGACAAACCTCATCAGGGGGAATCTGCTTCCCTCGGCTCTCGTCTGGATAACTTCCAGACCTGCGGCGGCCAATCAGATCCCTCCTACATGTGTGGACAGGGTAACAGAAGTACGAGGCTTCACTGACGCCCAGAAGGAGGAGTACTTCAGGAGGAGATCCAGTGATGAAGAGCTGTCCAGCAGAATCATCTCACACATCAAGACGTCCAGGAGCCTCCACATCATGTGTCAAGTCCCAGTCTTCTGCTGGATCACTGCTACAGTTCTGGAGCACATGTTGACCACAGACCAGAGAGGAGAGCTGCCCCAGACCCTGACTGACCTGTTCTCACACTTCCTGCTGGTTCAGACACAGAGGAAGAAGAACAAGTACCATGAGGGACGTGAGACGAGTCCACAGGAGCTGACGGAGGCTGACGGGGAAGTTCTTCTGAAGCTGGGGAGGCTGGCGTTTGAACATCTGGAGAAAGGAAACATCATGTTCTACCAAGAAGACCTGGAGCAGTGTGGTCTTGATGTCACAGAGGCCTCGGTGTACTCAGGACTTTGTACTGAGATCTTCAGAAGAGAGAGTGTGATCTTCCAGAAAACAGTCTACTGCTTTGTTCATCTGAGCATTCAGGAGTTTCTGGCTGCAGTCTACATGTTCCACTGTTACACCAACAGGAACACAGAGGTCCTGGAGAACTTCCTGGGGAAACAACATGTTGATTTAACCCTGGATGTCTTCCTGAGGAGAGCCATGGAGAAATCCTTCAGAAGTAAAAATGGTCACCTGGACCTGTTTGTTCGCTTCCTTCATGGCCTCTCTCTGGAGTCCAACCAGAGACTCTTAGGAGGTCTGCTGGGTCAGACAGAGAACGATCCAGAAACCATCCAGAGAGCCATCAACAACCTGAAGGAGATGAACAGTTATTTTATCTCTCCTGACCGAAGCATCAACCTCTTCTACTGTCTGACGGAGATGAAGGATCACTCAGTTCATCAGGAGATCCAAGAGTTCCTGAAGTCAAAGAACAGATCAAAGAAGGAACTGTCTGACATCCACTGCTCAGCTCTGGCCTACATGCTGCAGATGTCAGAGGAGGTTCTGGATGATTTGGACCTGAAGAAGTTCAACACATCAGGGGAGGGACGACGGAGACTGGTCCCAGCTGTGAGGAACTGCAGGAAGGCTGAGTGAGTCCAGACATGATCATTATAGTTATTGATCAGTAGATTACATCAGTAGTTCAGTCAAAATCAGATGAACACAGTTTTCATTTTATTGTATTTATTCATTTATTCTCATTATTCTTAGTTCTGCATCTTAAAAATTACAGTTCAGTCATTCTGTGAGCAACAAGATGTAGATTTTTCACTAGGTTGTGATTTGTTGTGCCCAGGTGTTTCCAGGTGTTTCCAGGTGTTCACAGGTGTTCATAGGAATATAACTGCACATGAGACAACAACAGTATAAAGCCTATAGTGTGTCCAGAGGGAGAGTGCAGTCTGATAAATGTCCTCAGGTGATGTGACCTTTGCCACTGAGGGCAGTTGAAAAATATTACACTCTATAGCCCCCCTTCATGTCTGCCGCAGGCTACAGGAGACATTAGCACCTACTAGCTTAACAAACCTAATATCCTGTTGGTGGTTGAGTTGCATTGTGGGTAATGTTGTCACCTGCTTTTGCTAAAGAAGAAGAATGTTTGAATGTGTGTGAATGTGTTTCCATATATTGTGTTAAATGAGACAGAAACTCAGGTGTTTCTCTCTCTTGTTGCTGTAGAAGAGTCGTATCAGGAAATGTTCAGCTTCAGACAGGAACACAGGTCTGAATATATCAGAGCACAATAGAGGATTCAGTCTCCTTATACACACCAAAGGTCAATATCATGTTCTCTGATGACATTCTGTGAAAACGATGCAGAAAACAGAGATTAAATTGTTCACTGATCTGAACTCAGATTAAATGTTCTGGAGTCAGTTCAAAAACAGAAGACAGTAAAAACAAGATAGTCTCATTCTGACTCTGGATCAAATCACATGATGAAGCATAAACTTGACGTAATTTTCCCTCCGTCTGCAAAACTAAGATTCCCATTAAAACTCTGCAGGTCTGAGAGAGTGAGAGTAATTGTTGTAGTGGAACACAATAAATGAAGATGATCTGAACCACAGATGTGAAGAGCAGATGTTCATCATATTATCATGTTTTCTCATCGTGTGCATTGAGTGTATTTTTATTACATATTGTCTGGTTTTATTAATAGATTTTATATTTTCTCTAATTACAGACTTGATTATTGTGGGCTCTTAGAGACTCACTGTGAAGTCGTGGCCTCAGCTTTGAAGTCCAGCCCCTCCCACCTGAGAGACCTGGACCTGAGTCACAACCCTAACCTGCAGGATCCAGGAGTGAAGCTTCTGTCTGCTGGACTGGAGAGTCCAAACTGTCGACTGGAGACTCTGAGGTCAGTTCACTGACTGGAGCTGTTGTAATCCTTTTTTATATATTCACTTCAAATCTCTGAGGTGTCAGGTTTTCGTTAGTTCGAAAAATCTTTTTATTGAATAATAAGAAACTTGATGAGAATCTTCTGGTTTGATCTTCTGCTGGCGCTGATTTGAACAAGACCAAAGCTGCAGCTCTCTTCAACAAACATGTCTCACAGCTGTTGTTCTGTTTTCATGTTGCCAGAATCATTTGAAGCCACAAACCTTCATATTAAAATACAAACCAAATTAAAGCAGGCCCAGTGGCTGAGGAGGGAAAGTGTAGAAAAGACGAAATTCTTTTCCCCTTTTTCCCCAAAATCATAGTAAATGGAGGTGAGGACCCAACATGTCCTTTATGTTTAGGTATGGCTTCACTTCAAAATTTTCTGTCGGGGTAAAACACCTGGAGACATCACCAGGTGCTGATGTAATTCCAGCAGCCACTGGGAGTAAAAGCTTAGAGGGAAACTTACTAAAAGGAAACAAGATGGATTTTATTAGTTGAGAGTTAAGAGGCAGCTGAAGGCAGGGAGAGACTGGCACATGAGAGTAGACTCAGGAGACTGCTGCCACCAGTCTGAGACCAGATCTTGTGTTGTAGTCAGAAAGCAGCAGGTTGTGTGTGTTGTGGAGCTGACAGCAACATGGGAAAAGGCCTATGAGAGGAAACAGCTCAGATGTATCCGAACTGAAACTTGGCTAATTCAAAAGGTTTCAGATAAGGAAACTAGTCTGGATTGATACAATATCTTTTGCATTGACAGGAAATCAAAAGGAGGTGGAGTACTGATCTATGTCACTTCTTACAGGCCTGTGTTGTCTCTGGTGTCACACTACTTAAGTGTTTTGAATACTTTTTTCTGAACATCTGCCCTGGTGGTAGTGACTTATTTACTGTTATAGGAATCTACCATCCTCCATCCGTCCAGACCTGCACAGTGCGCACTCGCTTTCTAACTTGTCTTCACGTTACCTCAGGTGTGCGCTGAAGTTTCCAGGCTGTTTCCTTCATCCTATTCTGACGACCAGACATCATTTAATTCAAATGTTATTTCTGAAATAATTTCATCTTCGTTACAATCTAAGATTGCTAACGACCGTTTACGTGGCGCTGATTAACGGTTAAGAACACCTGTGAAGAGGAGTGATACATGGAGTTAAAAGTCCCAGTGCTGTTATTCTCTATATCAGCACTCAGGAAATGACTTTCATCCAATCAGATGATTTGGTTGGAACTAACTTTTTTATAATGGGCCACATTTCAGTCACTGTTTCAAACTTGTACCAGAAAAACATGTAAATGAGAACAGCTGTGAATTCAGCTGTATTAAAATACTGTGTGTGTGAGCACAGAGGAGGAGAGAAGCCAACAGATCAAGAGCTGAAACCAGCTGATACTAGACTGGATGTGGTCCAGACAGATTCAGGGTTTAGACCTGGTCTTGTTTATTTCTGTGCTGAGATGAATGTGATGTGAAGGTTGTGTTGACTCTAACCTGCAGACAGCAGGCTGATATACTGATCCACACTGAGGATCTTCATGGTGAAGTCTGTTCTTCTTCTCTGGTTTTAGTCCAGTGACTGCATCTCTTCAGATTTCACCTCTTGACTTTTTAAAACAACATCAGAAACACATTTAATCTTTCAGGTAATAACTAATCTATAATCAATAGCTGATGGTCCAAACACTTTTCTAAGGGTCTGTGGTGTTTGTACTGAATATTCAAACCCAAGTTGTCATAGCAACAGGTTCTTAGTAGAATCTAATAAATGTGGCTGCACAACCTGAGTTTGTATAGATGGAGCCACATGTGGAGCTGGCAGAGTTTAAGAGGTGGAGTCACTACGTCTGTATTGAAGCAGCAGCATGTTGTCATTGATATTAATGAAGCTGTTTTCACTCTTTGTATGTGACTGTTTTTAACCTGCTTCCTGTTGGTTCAGGTGTTTGACTTTCATTTTCTAAACTTCTACTTTCTAAACCTTGAACAAATGATGAAGTAGGAACTTTGTCTCTGAACTCTCATCTTTTATTCTTATTCAGATTGATGAACTGCAGGTTGTCAGAGATCAGCTGTTCTTCTCTGGTCTCAGCTCTGAAGTCCAACCCCTCCCACCTGAGAGAACTGGACCTGAGCTTCAACAAGCTGCAGGCTTCAGGAGTGAAGCAGCTGTGTGGTTTTCTGGAGAGTCCAGACTGTGGACTGGAGACTCTGAGGTCAGTTCACTGTTGTAGATCTTCTGTCTTTAATCACAACTAATTTATCTGGACACAGAACTTGAATCCAGTTGAATCCTGTTTCCAGTTGTTCTTCTCTCAGACTGAGAATGATTCTTCAGTTTCAGATCATTTCAGTCTGTTGTCATGAATAATGTCTGTTATTAATAATTTTTCCTACACGATTTATTCTTTATTCAGATTGAGTTACTGCAGGTTGTCAAGGATCAGCTGTGATTTTCTGGCCTCAGTTCTGAAGTCCAACCCCTCCCATCTGAGACACCTGGACCTGACAGGAAATCACCTGCAGGATTCAGACGTGAAGGATCTGTATGATCTTGTGGAGAGTCCTGACTGTAGACTGGAGACTCTGAGGTCAGTAGAGGGATGGAGTCAGTCCATGGTACTTTCAGCAGTGTTGTACTAAACACAGTATCAGAGCAAAGATGTCTCAGTGGAGTCAGACAGTCTGATGTCAGAGGGCTCTGATAGGAAAAGACTCTGCAGCCGACAGAGATGGAGTATAAGGTTTCAGGAGGTCAGACAGGTATGGAAGAGAGAGTCCATGTAGAACTTTGTACATCATTAAAAGCACCTTAAAGTCTGATCTGATGTGGACAGGAAGCCAGTGAAGGGAAGATAAAACTGGTCAAATTTTCTGGGTGTAGTTGAAATTGTAGCTGCAGCTCTGAACCTATAATCACTCAATAATCAAGTCTCGATGGAACAAAGACGTGAATTAGGATTTCAGCATCAGTCTTAGACATAAAAGACTGAATCTTAGCTCTGTTACGTTGGTGAAAGAAGGTGGTCTCCATGACAACTTTAACGTGCTGAGAGGGTAGGATCGAATGTGACGCCCAGATTCTTGGCTGTCAGACTGTGAGAAATCACAGTTGTGGAGAGTCACTGTGACTTGATCAAGACGACTGTTGTGTTAATGTCTAAAGCTGCTAACTGTTGTCTGTCTGCTTCTCTCCACAGATGGAAAAACTATACAAATGAGACTGAAGAGGACGGTGTGTGTGTGTATGTGTCTGTGTGTATGTGAAGCAGTGATGACTCTGCAGTCTAAACTGATCTGAGTCACACACACAGTCCAGTCCACCATCCTCCCTGTGTGACTCCCCCCATGAAAATCAAGTGTTAATTTGTACATATGATGTTTTTATATATTACAAGACATATCCATGGAGCCAGCAGGTGGTGGGCGGGGCTCATGGCCTGATCCAGATTTCTCAATCAGGAAGTAAGAGGAGATGTGACTCTTTATGTGTGAAAATCAAAACAAAATATCAGTCACAGCAGAGGATTTTTGATAAGTGCCATACAAGCAAAATGTTTTCTTATCTGCCGTTCTGCGTGTTCATGTTTATACTGTACACATCTGACCTGCACCTTGTACACATTTATATCCAGGTGTTTATTAAGTATATTATGTCTAATACCAGCACTTTCCTTCTTCCTCCTTCATTGTAATTTATTCATCTCTGTAAGTAGAGTATGTGCATTCCTATACTGTTTGCACTGAGACAGTTGGACAATAAAGTTGAATGTAATCTAAAAATGATTTTAAAAATAAAGCACAGTTCATATCTAAACCTGACAGATTTTAATTGAACTGAATCAGAGACACTTTTATACTTCAGCTGTTGAAAATGTTTCCAAGTTCTTTTTCATATCTTTTTTTTCTTTTTTTCTGTATACGTAAACTTTGAGACATATTCTGAGATTTGAGACACACACAAGTTTATGTGATATAGATTCAGTCTGAGATATGAGACACATTGTATGGAAATATCTGTTTGATGCTGAATGTCAATAAAAAAAAAGGAAAAAGAAAACGTCTCCAAGTTTTAGTTCAGAGATTTCCGACAGTCACCTGAAGGCAGCAGTGTTCATTACTCCTGGACCTGAACAGTTCTGTAATTGCAGAAGTGAAGAGTCCCTCTGCTGGTCTGGTTATAGCTGACACCTGGTGGTGATGGAGAGAACTGCAGTCTGGTTTCGCATTTAATTTTTAATGGTACTGATTTTAAACACATGCAAACTAGTTTTTCTTGTTTGTAATTACAGAGAGAGAAAGAGGGTAAAAACTGAGCATCCTGAATGACAGGCACACAGAGAAAACCAGTAAACTCGGTCCATTGGGATTCCTCCCAACATGCTTGATGTTCAGTCTGAGAGTTGGACACTTATTTTCAAACACAACAAACGTCGACTTTCAAACTAATTCAAATACAACTAAATTTCCTTCCTCGTGGCTGTTTCCTCCAACATCCAGCCCAGTTACAGGAAATATGGTCACAATCTCTCCTTTCTGAGTTACCGGATTAGAAGATGGCCTGAAATGTTTTTGCGGAACATTATGATGTCACAGTGAAGTTGACCTCTGACCTTTTGGATATAATATGTCACAACACAAGTTATTTGAATTAAATTGTGTCACAATCAGTGTATGAATTAGTGAGTTATGGCCAAAAATGTGTTTTTTGTGAGGTCACAGTCACCCTTGGCCGGGTGCCCTGAGCCACTTGATCAGAAATGTCCCTCTGTGATGGTCGGATTGGGGGGGAATGCATTTTATATTTTGCACCATGTTGCTGTTGAGTTTCTGAGGCACTAGACGTGAAATCGACTGGTTGACAATCATAGTTCCGACCAAATAATCTGGTTGGACGAGATGCAATCTATGAGAATATAACAGCGCTGGGAATTTTAACTAAATGTATCACTCCGCTTTACAGGTGTCAATTAACCGTTAATTAACGCCACATTAACGGTCGTTATCTATCTTAGATTGTAACAAACTTTGCAAAGATGATATTGCTGAAATAATCTGTAAAAAATTAATTTTATAGTTCTATGTTTTCAAGCGGATGAATATCTGCCCTTGTTGGATGAGCCGCGGCTGATATCAGTTAGGTTGTATCAGCAAGTGTTTGTGGGAAAAGCTATCACAACTAGCAAAAGAACGGAAGCTAGCAGTAGCCAAAAGCCTAATGGGGCCGCCTAAAGACAGAAAAAAAGAGAAAAAGAAAAAGAAGCGGCAATAAAAATGTCTCCAGTATCAGTAGCTCTTTCACAAAGCTAAAGACGAAGAGTGGGTTTGAACAGCTACATCGATTTCCACGGAGGATGTCGAGCTAGCTAACGGCGATGATCGCGCGGAAGCGTTGCCCTCTATCTGCTATGAAGACCCTCAGGTAGGTGCCCGAGAAAAAGCTGCACTTGACGGAACAAGCTAGTGACACTTGTGGTAGTGGCGCTCATTTACAGGGGCAGAAGACCCTGCATTATGGGGGTCGATTACAAAATTCGAGGCAATCATGATGAAAGGGGGTTTCAGCCTTTCAGAATCGGGCCGCCATGTATCCAGCCTTACGGAGAGGGGATGAGTCTGGCGGCAAGACACGCTCTCTCTAACGGTGCACTGACGAGACGCCTTTACAACGCTGAAACTTTTATAGTAGTAGTATAGTTTATAGCTTTGCTTGTTCAGTTCTATCAGAGCGTTGCGACGCATTTGTTGCCTGGAAACATCGTGCCGCAGCATCACAGCTTTGCTGGGATCAGAGTCTTTTATATCTGGGGAGCGCAGTTGCACAATCAGAAGATCTGACAGATACAGTAATGTTATCCAATACATCTAGTTTTACTATTGCTAGATATCTTAAATTAGCCTTCACAACCAATGAGGACAACTTTCAAATGCAAGCATAACGTTATATTTCCTCAAAGGAGTTTTGTGAATATTATAAATTGAATTGAAATGTAAATTGAAAAAGTGAAATAAAGTTGTTTTTTTTTAAACAATGAGGACAACTAGCTCTGTTCACTTCAGATGTAATGTTATAATCATCTGAGGTCAAAACGGACAATTATCGAAAAATGATGCCATAGCATTTTGGCGCAAATTTTCATAGAGCTAGCTAGCTAGCTAATTTAGGCAAGCCTATATTAACGTTGATGTACAGTAAACAATATGAAGAGGGGACCGGAATAAGAATTACTTCATTGACAAATAACATTGTTTTACTTATTCGCATATCCACTCGTAGTCCGTGAACGGTCTCCCCTTCTTTCGCAAGGGCATGAGTGGTCCTAAACATGGCTTTGAGTTTGGCTTTGGTCTCTTCTGATAAAGATGTCAGAGCAGTCACGGCAGGTTGAGTGAAGAGAGGCTCGGACTGAGCCCGAGACACTGATTGGCAAACAGCGTGACATTTGCTTCCTTCGTGCTCTCGGATGGTCTCGAGTTTCATCGTTTTATTGCCAACCACAAATGAATTGGTACGCTGCTTTTCGTTAGCATATTTTCTACAAACTGAACAAAACATGATACCTGCCGCCTCCTCGTACTGCAGCCATTCCCTCTGAATCTTCCATTTCTCATTGAAGTTTCTTACTTTTGCTTTGATGTTTCGCCTTTTTCATCCTCCTTTCCATCTATCTCCTCTGTACTCTTTCTTTTTGGGTCAGTCACACTACCCGGTGTGCCTCCACATTGCTGCGCCGGAACACACTGCGCGGGCTAGTGGTGACGCTTGAAGGCTGATTTATACTACTGCGTCAAGTCGACGCCGTCACGACGCAGAGCCTCTGTGTGGATGTGAACCCCCGACACAGAGCCTCTGCGTCCGTCAACGTGCACCTCCAAAAATGTCTAGGCATTTTATAGCAGCAATGTTTTGCTATATTGTGACAAACATTTACCTGCCCCATGGCATGTAGCCCTCCAAAATTAAGTCGCCAGGGGAATATTTTAGTCGCATTTGGCGAGTGGCGACTGTTAGTTTACAGCCCTGCCTGAACCGTTCTGATGTGTGAGTGGAGCGATTTATTGGATTTGAACTCATTTTTAGTCACACTGGGTCAGGTCTGACTGATTGTGTGATGAACATGGGGCCAGTTTCACAAAGGTAGACTTTGACTGTGGCTTAGATATAACAGAGTCCGACTTCAGGTAAACATCTGGGGCCAGTTTTGCAAAGATATGTTAGACTGGTCTGCAGTGTTAGGCCAGTTTTAATTGTTGCTCATTGATCAGTCTAATGTTAGTCAGACTGTTTCACAAAAACAAAGACTGATTTCAAGACGAAAACATTAGACACCTTACCGCCAGGCTAACTCAGGCCTAAGATCAATGTTACCATGGTAACAATCAATAACACCTGCGGATTCCAAGCTCAACTCAAGAAACACAACCCACTCCTGCATCACATCCCATGCGCGGCACATTGATTGAATTTAGTCTGTGTTGAAAATAGCTGTCTGGAGGTTTTTGGACTTACTTCAGGCAGTCTGCTTTCTGCTCCGCTCCCACCCACCGATCACCGTTCACTGCCGACTGTGCTGCACCGCTTCAAGCTTACGAGCAGCGGCTTCCAAAAGAGGGACATGGACCTAATGGACTAATGCTGTTCGCCACTTTTTGGAATTCACTGCTACGACGTGTCCACGTTCATGTCGCACGCGCAATTTGCACAGACTTTGAGACATGTGGCCGGTCTGTGGAGTTGTGACACAGGGTGAGTAAAAAGAAGAACCTTTGATGATGAGACCATAGTCAATGAAGTCGTTCTCACTGGGAGTAAAACTAGAATCACCTCCTCGCGGTTGTATCCCTCCGCCACTTTGGACTAGTTTCAGGTTACATCCCTGTTTATCCAGAGTCATATAAGATATTAACCATTTGTGTGAAGAAGTAATGACTACAGAGTGTTTTATGCCGTCAACATCATCTTGACCTTTGACCTTTGACCACCAAAGTCTACTCAGTTCACCTTGAGTCCTGGTGGACACTTGAGGTGTTACTGAGTATCGTATCCACGAGCAGATAGACAGATAGATAGATAGATAGATAGATAGATAGATATAGATAGATAGATAGATAGATAGATAGATAGTTATTGGCCTGTTTTTAGAGATCAGTGTCAAACACCAAAGGGACCATTAATTTCTCTGTATAATCATAATTTATTGTTTTATGTCTGTCTGTCATGATAAACATTTATAGTGTATTATTTAGTAATCTATAAAACAGTTAAATTTAGTTGAAAGAACTGTCATAATTTAACAGAACAGACTCATGAAATTAAAATAACTTAAACAACTTCTAACTGGGTGAACGATGTCACACATAACCACACACACACACCTACACCACACCCACAGATGAAACAAAGTCATGTGATTTCTTGCAGAGGG